CGTGCGCCTCTGTACCTTAGTATTTTACTTCTGCACTGCGCCTCCTCTGAGTCTCGGTATGCTTTTCTCTTTCCTTCTAGTTGTAGGATTTCCACTCAGCCAGCCTTCCTGTGGTTCTGGATGATGTCCGTTCTGTCTTTTAGTTGTATTTTTGAAGTGGTTGTTCGAGGCAGCAAACTCCGGTGTTTACCTATGCCGCCATCTTGGTTTCTCCCTCAATAAAATATATTTTAAAAAAATGAAGATTATGTTTAAAAGTGTGTTGTGTCCCTAGCCATTACATTGTGAATGGCTTAAAAAATTAGGAAATATTCTCCCAATATTTAAAAAACCGTTATCTGATTCAGCAAAGTTGTTCAAATCATTCTCAAATGAGTAAAGTTCCAACATATGTCATTGTTTCACTTTTGTCATACTTATCAATGTAAAAGAAATCATCAACCTCATTCATAGTGGAATTATACTCATTCACCAACTGCTACTATAGGTTAGCTGTGACTACAAGGGTTCAGCAAAAATCAATGAAAACATTCTGTAAGAACCAATTTGCTACATGGAATTTATGATACAATGTATTGTATGTTTTATTATTTATAACTTGTGTGCTACATATATATTTCTATAAGCAAATCTTAATAAACATAAGCAAATAGCACTGCACTCAGAAGACATTCCTGTCCTAGGAAGATAGTTTCTCATTAGTCTAGGACAGTGGTCAGCAAACCGGCTCGCGAGCCACATGCGGCTCTGTGGCCCCTTGAATGTGGCTCTTCCACAAAATACCACGTGCGGGCGCGCACGTACAGTGAGATTGAAACTTCGTGGCCCATGCAAAAAGTCGGTATTTTGTGGAAGAGCCACACTCAAGGGGCCAAAGAGCCGCGTGTGGCTCGCGAGCCGCAGTTTGCCGACCACTGGTCTAGGATATTCCTGCTTCCAAATTCCTACCACTTCTCTGGGAAATACACTCATACGAGTATCCCCGTGTCCCCACTTTTCGAGCCTTTAACCCATAGAACATTGGAAACAGTATTTTCCCAAGCCTTCATTTTGCCATCCTGCTCTCTCCTGGACGATAGGCCCATCCTTGAAGCTTTGTGGGAACTGCTTTGATATGGTAAAGAAGGAGGTAATTATGTTCTGAAAAAAAAATTTTGAAAATGGAAATATATTTCCTCATAGATACTATGTAAAAGTGTTCTTTGTGGTCAGGTGTTATTGATATCACAGTTCAGCTATATTGTAAGCTAAAGAGTTCTTTGCTGATGGCCTAGAAATTGATTTATAGCATTATTACTATGGGAAAATGTATTCTGAGTACTAAAACACTGACCTACAAATTAATTTTTTTGGTACAATCCCATTTGAAGCTGGAAATTAACCAGCTCAGTTTCACATCACTCATCTGCTTAAGGATTCATTAGTCCGAGCCCAACTATGTCTCACTGTTTTATAATGGACATTAGAAGTCACAGAGCAAGTTTACTTTCTGGAAACAATTTGATTGTATATTTTTAAAGTAATCTTATTACAGGTCCATCAGAGTCTACAAAATTCAGAATTTTATACTTTCAGGGCATGTTGTGGAAATTTCTTGTAAAAAGAAATACATCTTTAGAATATACCAGGAAACTTACCATATTAGAAACTTTAGGTTATCACATTTAGCATTGTTAACTAATGATGACCCCCAAGATATAAAATCCCTGTTTGACTGAATTTATCATCAGTCATTCTGTAAACACATATTGAGATTTGCTACATGCCAGCAAGACATTCTCACATGGAAACATCTAGTCTGTCATCAGTGGCCAGCCTAATTATATACAAGTTATAATGATCTTTACTTACTATTTGAGACTGAGAAAAGAAGTGTTGGGAGATGGTTGAAGTACTCTTATAATTTGAAAATTTTAGTCTGTTAGGTTTGGAGTATAAATTAATTGTGTGCTAAAAGACAAGAACTTAAAGGAAACATTTGCCTTCATTTCCAAAGTTTATAAAATGTCAATGTGTATTATGACACAATTTTAAAATTAATTTTTCTAATTAGTCTTCAACATCAAAAGTTGGCAAATGTTAATGGGTCCAACAAATTACTAGCTGTTATCTGAAAGAGGAACTGTTTATAGAAATGTGTAGATGTGTGTGTATGTAGGTATACAGACTAAAGAATATTTAATATTATTTGGGGTATTTACAAGTAGTTTCAGGTCAAAGATTAGCTTTCCTAAAAATTTAGAATTTTCAGTAAATTTTATTTTCTCACATGTCACTTATGATATATTAAAAGGCAAAAGGAAGGGGACTACCTCAAACCCCTCCAAACACAACTAATCTTTAGCACCCTGACTTTTCTTCAAGGAAAAAAACAACATTACTTGGTATGCTTTCTCTTCTACATGTTAAAATGTTGTCTTCTGTCAAATAAAATGGCATCTGATTTATCTTTCTGTGAGTCTTCAGGATTCATCACTATATTTCCTTTGGGAAATCACTTCTCCTGAGGACAGCGGGTGAAATATTTAACTGTAAGATTTGAGGAACACAGCAAGTAGGTCTTCTCACAAACTGCTGATACTCCTTTGTCACCTTGTATATGTCTGTACTTTATTTAAGGTGAAGCTGAGAACATATTGGAAAAAGAAAAAAATAAGTTACAGCTGCCAAAAGGAATGATTACTTTTGAAAGCCTTGAAAAAGCCAGAAGGGAACAAAGTAAATTCTTCATAGACAAATGATATCATGTTTACCCACTGAAACTCAAAACACAAAATTGTTGACTTGAATAATGGTTTTCACAATTGTTTAAGTTTTCAAGATTTTGATATATTGGATTTTATTTTAAAATATTAAAATGTAAGATCAGGTTTGTTAAACTATTTTGAAATAAAATTTATAATATTCAACAAAAAAAGGAGGTACTCTAAGTAACTTTTAGATTTCCCATATATGTATATTATAAATATGTAAATATAAAGTTAATAAACTATATTGTTTTGAACTCCTGAAAGCAAATGTCCTACAGCTCTCATTTTTCTGTCTCACACACCTTCCCCATCACATTCATCTTTAATTTGGATTTGTCAGTTGTGTCCTGTCTCCACCTGACAGAAACAATTCATATTAATGACTAATATGTATATTGTGCTTCCTATGGCCAGTCACTCTTCTGAGTGGTTTGCATAGATCTAGGACAGGAAGGACTGCTGCTCAGCAGAGATTACATTTGAGCTGAGAACTGAATGATGAATGAGCCAGTTGTGTAAAAAGCAGGTATGGGGGCAGGGAAGGGATTTCTAGGCAAAGGGAAGAGCCAGAGGAAAGGCTCTGAGACTTGTCAAAGAATGGAAAGAAGGCCAGGAAAAATAGTAGGAGATGAAATCTGAAGGAGAGAAACAAGAACAAATACATGGCTAATGCAGCTGATGATACATTAACATATGGCTTTGATACAATTATAGTTGAAGAGAACCTTGGGGCCAGGTCTTGAAGGATGCATTGAGTTCTCCATGAAGACAAGGGGGTGAAGAGGAAGTGCATCTTTGGCAGAAAAAGAATGACTAAAGGCAGTGCCGTGCATGTCAAGTCCAGGGATTTGCTGCTGGTTATTGGGTTTGCCTGGGGCAAGAGGTTCCTTACATGGGAGATTTGTTAAGAAATAAGCCTGGAGGCACAGCTCAACTCCTTAGGTGTAACACCAAGGAGGTTGTGCTCTATCCTACTGGTACTAAAATTACAACTCAATCAAGTTTATATGGTATTCCACCTAATTCAGTTTGTGTTTGGGGATAATTCTGAAAGGGTCCTTATGTTATAGTACTTAATTGCACTTTGTAAAAGATTTTAGCAGTGCCCCAGATCCACTCAAAACAGTTTTGGCAACAAATACTGAAACTATATTGTCAAGATGTTAAAGAAGGAAGGAAGACCCTTAGAAATTATCTAGTCTAAATCCCATTTTACAGTTGAGAAAATGGAGGTTCATAGTGATTTACCTAAAGTTCCACATCTGGTAATGGTAGTTGGTACTAAAACCCTGGTGTCTGATATCCCTAGAAGGATTCTTTCCAATGCAACATGCTGCCTGACTTCAAAGGAAAGTGACAAAGTAAAAATCAAAAATAATTTTTAAAAATTATCACATATGCTCAATTTCAGAGCCTTAGAAAATGTCCCAAAGATGGGGTTAGAACAGGATAGGGAAGTAGCAGAGTCAGACTGCAAAAATAATCTACAACCAATGTAATTGGAATATGAGTAATCTGAAGTTGATACTATATTTTATAGGCTTCAACAATTTTAATATCTGCATGTTCAAATGTGGTATTTTAGAGACACTAGTCAGAACCTAGAAAGTTTTTCTGCTCCACGCTTATGGGAAAAGAACAAACCCTTGCTGGGAAAATATTATTAAATAAGCCTTATTACTCATGCGTTTCGGTGTCTCTTGGCCTTGAATGTGTCTGTTCTGTGAGAGGGTTGGAAATGCTCTCCTAGGTTTGGCCTTGTGGATGCCTATAGGAGATTTCAGAAATACCTTGCAAACTGCAAAATGTCCAATTTGAAGAAAGTAGTTTCTAATATTCAGGGCTGAATATTTAGCATCTCTACTGATTTTTCTACTGGTAACTTTGGGTCTTGGAGTTTATGAAGATTGAAGCAGTACTTGGGCTGCAGGTGTACCAGGAAGCCCAGGCTGGCTGGAAGCAGAGCGTAGGGAGTGACAGAAAATAAGAGAGCCAAGGAAGAGTAGTCTTCATGAAGGGATGGAGCTGACTCAAATGCCTCTCACAGTAAATGGCTGCCAGGGTTCCATTACTGGCTTGCTTGGGGGAGCTGAGCTCCCTAGAGACCAAAGTCACCTATGGGATCCCCTCACAGGCCTGTTTATTTTGCTGTAATAACTTGTTCCTTTGGCTACTTGGATGGCAATAAGAAGTGTGTCTGGAACAACACAAACTTATCATGACTGCTGATAAAAGCAACTGGAACCCTATATCCCACTGATACTTAGTGGTCACTGAGTCTGAGGTTTAGATAGTATTTCTGGTTCATTATTTCTCAGTCCACAGGTGTCATGGGGTTAAAAGATAGATTGCTAACCTCAGTTTATTTATTCTTTTTCTTGGAGGACTTCATCTGTGGCCAGCAGCACTGTGTAGATGTTTTCTGCTCTGCCTGGACATGAAAGACAGGCAACCCCTGAGCCCGAGTTGGTTTGGGCATTTCATTTGGTGTTAGAAGAACAGAGTTCAGAATATGTCTCATGAAGTCACATCCTAGAGAGGACTGACTGGCAATGTGGGATTCTAGTTTGGTGGGGATTTCAAAAAACTATAAGGAAACAGCTGTTGAAGGTATGTGAAAGTCAATGGATTTTGATAAATTGAAATGAAATAAGGAAGGTCTGTGAAAAGTTATCAGGGTGTCAGGATTAGGCTTTGAGGAACACCTATAACTATTTTTCCCAACATTCCCACACCATTAATTTTCTGCTGATGAAGATCTGACACAAGTAGAAGGTAGTATCAACTGTATCTACTAAGGTGATCTTGAGAGAGAGAGAGAGATTACATTCCATAGAAATTCAATATGGATTCTGGATACTCGACAGTTTCATATCTTGAAATGCTCCAGAGAAGACTTGGCATCCAGAATGCTTTTCATCTTCAAGGAACAAAGAAATTTGAAAGGAGTCCAACTAATGCTATGTATTTCAAACTAGCAATAACAAAAACACCTATGGTTTGAATAGTTTGTGCCTCTAGATCAGGGGTGGGGAACATCCAGCCTGCAGGCTGTATAAGGTCCCTTAAATCATTTGGTCTGCCCCTACCAAGGCATTAGGGGTGAGTTAATTAAATGTTTGACTAAATATAACAGCCTAATTTTTAAGTTGATAATTTTGTATGGCCTGAGAATGATGGTATAAATATCTAAATGGCCCTTGGCAGAAAAAAAGGTTCCCCACCCCTGCTCTAGATAGTTACTTCTTTGAATTCAATAGCTATGAGAAACACAGGATGCTAGACTTACCTTCCATGCAGTTTTCTTGTATGGACTGAAAGCAAAGGACAAGCCTACCACCTCTGAAATAGCCTGAAAGTCTTACTAGGCAGGTGAAGGGGATTTTGTTCATCTACTGACTTTCATAATTGCTTTTCAGCAATTCAAGCAGACATCAATTTCCTACTATAATAGGTGTGTTATAGGAAAAGTTCAAATAGGCTCATAGTTAAGATATTCTGTTCTTCCTCCCATTTCTTTTTCCCCAGAGATAGTCACGTTTATCTCTTTTAGATAATCCTATCTCAATATAGGATTTCCCTGAAGCAGATTTGGCACCAATCACTTGAGCAAGTCATTGATTTTGGAGGTGATCCCAAAAACATTGATGGGGAATTAAGGAAGTAGACAGGACAGAGAAGGAAACTAGTAAATGAAGTCTAACCCAGAAAGTGACCTTTGCAGACCACTGTAGCTTAATCCTGATGAAGAACTCTGGGAAATGGTTTAAAACATCCCCTACCCCCCACCTGAGTGATCCAATCCAAGGAGTGAAATTTCCCCAGCTTAGAATGTACAGGCAAAATGGGCTCTGGAAACCAGAATAAACCTCAAGCAAGAAACCAGGTGTTAGACACTGGAAGTCAGATCAGCTCAAACTGAAATGGTAAGGGCTAATAAGTAGTTGAAAGCAACTCATATTTTAGTTACTGATAGGGTTACTTTAACTTTACATCTCTAAGTAACATTCCAGTGTAGCTACTTCTTAATGTTTCAAAAAAATATTATTTCTTGACATACCATAAAGATAATAAAGAATTAGCTATCTTAACTCCCCCAACCCCAACAACCACCACCACATGCATCTATTTCCCTATCCTTTCAATATTGTTATGCAATCATTTTGGTTGGATCAATATTCATTGTTTACATTATAATGATGCAAACACTGTTCACAACTGTGTCATATAGTAAAGTATAATTACTTCCCTTTCTTGCTCACTTCCTGATTTCTCTGGAATTAGTAGTCTTTTTGTTGTTTTATGTGCTTAATGTTCTTTATAACTTCATTAACCTCAAATTCTTTCTTGGTTTTTAAATCTCCTCCAAAGACATCCATTCACATCAGGTATTTTGTCAATACCTTCTTGAAAAAAAATTGGAGGCTTTTGGCCTGTTCTCACCTGTACTGTTTTTTGGGTTTTTTTTACATCTGAAAGACAGCTCTCTCCTCCTGAGTTTCCCCTTCACCACCGTGGTGGAGGGGGAGGGTCCTTTTTTCTTATACCTGGGTTGGATCTTTTGTTTCCTATATTCTATGTTGTGCTCCCTCATTTGCTGGAACTCATCCCTCCTTAAGCTTTGTGACAAAGAGTGAATGGAGGAAAAAAATGTTGAGACCTTATATATCTAAAAATAACTTCCTCTTCTTCACTTGATTGATAAATTGGCTGGGTACAGAATTCCTGGTTGTTAATGACTCCATCAGGATTTCTAAGGCATTTCTCCACCGGCTTGGGTGTCAACACTCTGTGCTGGAAAGCCCTCCTACACCGATCCTCCTCCTCACCCTGCTTGAGCTTCAACCACTCATGCTGGCCGCCCATCACATAGTTAGATATATTCCTCATCCAATTCAAATCCTAACAACACTAGCCTGCACCACCATGCAAAAGCCTTTTTTTTTTAATTAAATCTTTATTGTTCAGATTACATTTGTTCCTCTTCCCCCCCCCCCATAACTCCCCTCCTCCCAGTT